CCATGTCTCCATCCTTTCAGGCTTTGGGGCATGCACATGTATGTTCTCAGTGTGTCTTTATTTTATATGTTTTTTTAATTTATTTTTTTAGAGCTTCTTTTGCTATAGGGCACCTGTGCTCACCTGAGAGAGACAGAGAGAGAGGAAGTGAGAAGTCACCCCCCGGGGGGATGGCCACGCTGCAATCCCTTCTCCTCCATTTGCCTCTCAGGATTTGGGGCATGTATCATACGTGCCTGGTGTGAATTTCAAGCCACTGGGTCCGGGACTCAAACCAGTCGGCCACGGTTAAGTGGTTAAGTCCAGCACCTTAACCACTCTGCCACCTGCTGGCCCCTACTATGTTTTTAAGCCCAGTAGAGCTGGAATTTTAACTGTGTGGTTGGTCATGTGGAATCTGGTTTCCCCAACCACCAGTCCACCGGCCAGCCTACCTCTCTCTGGTATATCCTTCAGATGCCATATCTGCTAGCCAGAGGATGCGTGTGTATATGGTGTTTCCGGAACAAAAGAAATCTGTGTGCTAACACCTGTATGTCATTTACCAGCATCGAAGACCTTAAGTAATCATGAACTAATTTTTTTTTTTTTGAGAGGTTTTTGCTATAGGGCATGTATGCTCGCCAGACAAACAGAGACAGAGAGACAGAAAGCGAGAAATCACCCCCGTGGGGGATGGCCATGCCACAATCCCTTCTCCTCCATTCTCCTCTCGGGATCTTGGGCACGCACACACACACACACTTGACGTGAGTTTAAGCCACCGGGTCCGAGACTTGAACCACAGTCGACCATGTGGGAGTCCAGCGACATAGCCATTATGCTAATTGCTGGTCCCATGAACTAATTGGTTTTAAACCTTAGCAAGTTTTCTCCCAGTGTGAGAACCTGGAGGAGGAAGAATGATGAAAAATACTGAAGGATTAGGGTTTTTGTTTGTTTGTTTCCAGTTTTTGTTAAAGAATGTGTGTGCTTGCTGGGGGTATGGAGGAGGAGTGAGAAATTGACAAATGCAGATTTGTTCCTGAATGAAATGAGGACCGTGTGCGTTGTCAATAGCATAACCTATTTAATATCTGCTCATCATAACGCTCTGAGGCCCTCCAGGCAGACGGAAAGAAAGAGTAAGGATTCAGGAGGGAAGCTGGAATGTCAAACAAGGAACCCTGTCCCTTGAGTCCCCAAAGGGAACCGCTCGAGATGAACACGCCTTCCCATCTTCCGCAGAGGATAAAGTTTTAGATAGAGCAGTGGCCTTGGGGCAGATCCTTCCCCCACGTCTCACTCCTGCCAGGGAGATGTTGTACCCAGGGCTTTGGGAATCAGCTCGCTGCTTCTCTGTGGCAAGCAGAAGCCTCTGCCACTCACTGTGTGTCTGTGTTGTGTCCCAAGGAAGGGAGGTGCAGCAGCGGCCTGGCAGCCTGTGATGACACGTGGACAGCTCTCGAGTCCAGGCATCCGGCGGTATTTTTGGAGGGGCTGAATCTCTGGCTTGGCCAGTTTTGACACTTGTTGATCTTCTGGGTTTTCTAAAACTCTCTGATGCTTCTGGGCCATGATGACTTCTGAATTTTTAGCAGCCTTTTCCTCTCCCCCCCAAATCCATTTGTTAAAGATGGGTTTGGCTTCTGCTCTAATGCCCACCTTCCACTACCTGCTGCAATCGGGGGTCTAAAATGTGATGGGGTGGGAGAGGAAGGGAATATTCATGTCCTTTTGATTTGCTATCCTGGCCACGTGGTTACATGGGGTGCGCTTCTCATTGTAAATCCAGACTTGCTTTGATTTTTAAAAAAATGTTCTCTCTCTTTCAACCGTGTCGTCTTAATTCTTTCTATTGACTGCTTCCCGCCCCCACCCCCCCCCTTTCATTTGGGATGCTTTTTTCAGGCTTCTTGTTGCTTTTGTTTCTAGACCTTGTGGCAGGCTGAGAATCGTGATTGTCGGTCGCCTTCCCTTCATAGCTTATCCCATTTTTGTTTTGTTTTGCTTGCAGCAGTTTCTCAGTGATCTGAGTTCCTAGGCCATTGCATTTATTGATTGAAAAGCAAAGATTCATAAAGGCTATTATTATATGTTTGCCCTCCCTCTCCCCTTGCCGGGAACTCCTGTGGTGAACAGTTTGCTCCTGTGGCTGTGGTGCTGGCTGCCACGCCAGGGACCTCAGGTGCCCTCTGTGACACACACACAGCTGGGCCAGACCATAACCAGCTGGGGCAAACTGGTCTTGCTTGTCCCGCTAGTCACTGTGACCATTTTTTTGTGTGTGTGCTCTGGCTTGGTTTTGCCTGCCTTCAGTTTGCGTGTCTCCAACCATTTTTGGTTTGTTTCATCCGGTTCCCGGTTTTCTTTTAAGATGCAATCAACTGTGTGTGGATCTGTAGGCCCGGGGCACCGATCTGTTGTTTTTGTTTTATTTTTCCTTTTTGTCAAATCCAAGAGGAAACTTACCATAAAGAGCTAGAAGATTCTAGTTCACAGCTTTTTGAATCTTCCCAGCCTTTGAGTCCTCATGGCCTCTGAGAACCCTAATCCATTTTCTCCCAGGAGGTCTCTGGGGACTGAGCTTTTTAAATCTTTGTTTTTAAGATTAGTGGCATCTTGAGCTGAGGGCAAGAGATCATAGAGAAATACTGAACATACCCAAAGGGAAATGTTTCCCTGACGAAACAATATGGGCGTGGTGCCAGTTTAGACTAGCTGCTGGGTGAAAAAGTAGCAGAAGCTGGCAGTGTGTAGAAGGAAGTTTTTCAGGGCTGGGATTTGCAAAGAAGATGGAACAAGGAGCAAGATATTTAGAGGCATTGATAAAAAAATTGTTTTTAATTATCAATGGTTGGGTCTAGGCTTTAGGGAACACATGAAGCCAAAGAGTATCTCATAGTTTCAGAGAGGGTTTAATGATCCAGAGACAGGAGGTCTCACTGTCATCGCAGAATAAGTATAGTTTAAAAGAATAACTATTGTATTTCACCCTATTGGGATGACTTATATGGATGGTCTTATATGAGTTCATGGAAAGTGACCATTACGAAAAGACTATGTACGGATTTCACATTTTTTGCACCCGAATGAACTTGCATTTTAATCCCATAGACAGAAAAGCTTGTATTTGTTTCAAATACTCTACATAACTAGTGGTGTTTGTGTGTGTGTGTGTGTGTGTGTCTGTGGATATGTATATGTGTATGTGTGTGTGTGTGTGTATATATATATATATACACACACACA